TCTAACCCGACCACCCCCACCCCCTTCCTCTAGATCCGCGCATATCGGTGGATATTAAATATAAAAAAAAATAGCTCAAAATATTCAAATGTAAGTTACATTAAGGGGGGCCTTCTAGGGTTTTCATTACGCAATACTTCTTACAGCATATTGAAATCAAGTGTATTCACACTATTAGGGCAACTATGTACACATAGTTTATAATTTAAAAAAAAAGATTAAGAAATCAAAGGCCAAAAATAAAAAAAAGAAGGATGTTCTTAAATGATTTTCCAACTGAAAGGTAGATGGACGCCATAATAGTTTTTGTGGCGTTTTGATAAACTGAAATTCTTTCAGAGGGGGTCATAAAATTCAATAAAAGAGAAAGTATGAAAAGCATGCTCTTGAAATTACAATACAAAAATTTGAAAATCTCACATTCAGTTATGTTTAGTTCTTTTTGTAAAAATTCAAAGTATATGATATATTTTGTAGTACTCCATAAAAGGAAGACGATATCGTTAATTTTGACATATTCAGATGACGGCTCTGGAAACCAGGCGATAATATAAAATTTTGTGTTTTTCATATAAATGCACAGTATGATATTACTCTTCACCTATAATTTGAGCAAAAAGTTTACATAATACATGTACAGAGCATAACTGATTGTAAAAAGCTTTAAATAATTCTTTAAACTGTTTCCACGTGACCCTACAAGAATAATTACGAGTATAAGCGTCAGACTGCATGCAAACGATTCGATCAAGTTTTGCTAAGCGAAAATGAAATGCGTTGTAAAGTCATCGGAAGAATATCGATACACTCGTTACTAAGAATGAAAAACTTAAAGTTAATTACTGATTCAAAATTAAATTCAAATGTTTCTTTTAAAATATTTTTATCATTAATCGAAAGACTTGAGAAAAATATGTATAGCGAAGATTTGACAAACCCAACTGTTTTGTAAAGCTTGAAAGTCTTCAAAATATAAATACCGTTGCATTGTTGTTATCAAGTCTAGGTAACGCAACTTCTATTTTTAGCGTAAAACTTATATCAACATTGAATTTGAGCATGCAAAGATTAAGAATATGTTTTGATAGTCCTTTTTTGTGATCGGAAACCTTTAATTTTCTAAAACTGAATACATTCAAAGATTGAACAGAATTTGCATGTCATGCAGATTTTCTATTTATGTTGATTTCAGTGAAGTTGTCGCTAGAATGGGGTTATACTCGTAGACACTTAACACTTGCGGATTTAGAGAGGGCCCGGGCCCCCTTTTGTGACCACAAATGAACATAAGATTAGTAAAACATTTTTTGTGGGGGTTATTACATTAATTAGACCTAAAATGTTGTTTAAATAAGTAAAAAAAAAAAGAATTGTTCCAAAAAACTCCTAAAAATTGGAGCCTACCCCGAACCCAAACTGATTGGGCAACCCTTTTAAAAAATCCTGGATCCCCTACTTCTAAAATGGGTAATACAGAAATTAACGGCATGGTTGAGGCATAAGCAGAGACCAATATGCATTTTCTAAGGACTCTGCCTACGTACCTGTAAAATTTATCTTCTTCAGATATGAATATTATCAAGGACCCTATATTTTACGAATTAAGTCTCCATGAGTCTGTTTGACTAATAAAATCTCTATAGTTTGATTTAAAAAATTAAGATTAAAAGAACTAGTACTGTGAAGTTAATACGCAGATGAAATACATGTATGAATCTGCTTTGCTGTATATAAGGAGGACAACTGATCTGGAACAAAATGAGAATTTTTTCACCTCATGTGCAATTTCAGATATCATCATCAAAAAAGAAGACACGTACTCTATTTACATAAAAAGACTTTGTGTTGATTGTGAAGTCTCATGTGGGTAATCGATTACCCTAATATTTGACTATACATGTCAAAAATATCAAATGTCCTACTTCTAGTTCTCTCCTGATAAGGCCAATTTCCACCTTAAACCCAGTTTGATAGTGCATTAGCTCGGTAAAGCCTCTGGGAGGTCATGTGGTTATCAAGCATAGACACGTATCTATTTTTGAAAAAAACAAGGTGGAACAGGTTATTTGCAAATTATAAATCTAAGGAGGAAATCACAAAAATATTTCATTATTTTTACTTGAATATATCTGAGCTGGAAGCTAAAGATTTAACTTGACTTTGTTTCCGAGTAAAAACAGGTAAGCTTACAAACACATTTTAAAAGAAAAATATAAATTAAACAATGCCTTAACTTACCTACCTTCGGAAAATATTTTTTGCGTATCTGTTATTTTAACTTTTTTACTCTCGTAATTTTTTTATGTGAAAATAATGTAATCGGTCATTCATCTGTGTATTGTATACACAGCACTGTTACAACGTGAAATGTAATAACAACGCGAAATGTAATAAACCGGGGTTATTATATTTTGCGTTATTACATTTTGCGTCGAGATCAACGCAGAATGTAATTACACGATTTTGGGGATTATAACATTTTTTGCGTTATCACATTATGTATTGATCTCGACGCAAAATGTAGAAATGCACTTTTTTGTTGTTACATTTCGCTTTTCTTAATTTTTGCGTTGAGAAAAACGCAAAATGTAATAAAACAAAGTATAATTATTTTTTGTATTGTGTTCAACTCAAAACATCACAAAATTGAATAAAACATATAACAATTGGGAAACTTGATTTACTAAATAGACAGACAGACCTATGACTACGAGGCAAACGCTACGGCTTTTACGGACATTACTAAATCTAATTGTATATTTTTTCAAACTTTTTTCTTAATAATTTTATTGAATACTTATTAAATCATTAACTTAAATTTGACTGACATGTCTATTCATAAATATATCCAACACTGACATTCTTAATAACCAAAGACTGACCATGGGTTCATTAAAAGCTCTTGATATGCATGTACGACGTATATGTTTACATTGGTAAGCAAATTAGAAGCGTATGTTGATCATTGTATTTTTTGAGCATGCAGAAACGATGCATTTTTTATTGGGAGAGAGAGAAAGAGAATTTTATTTTTGTTGGTCTGCAATGCCCTAAATTTGTAAAACATTATGAAATCTTAATTGTCAAGAAACTCCCCTCCCCGCTATATTTACACCTGCCAATAAAAAAATAGATTTCTTTTATCTTTTCTTTTCTAAATTTTATGCATGTGCCAATCAAAATGCAAAAGTTAACTAATACACTGATCATCGAAATTGCCCCATTCAATCACACATACGTGCGCAGGCAAGTTTCTAATTTGCAACACCTATGATTTGAATATCAATAATATTGGTGTTATATGGCTAATGAAATCAATATATGATAAAATCAGATCTAATGTAAGAATTGGCATATGTTTATTTTTCATTTTGTTTTATTTTCTTTTCGTTTATTTTCTTCATCCACCTCTCATTTGAAAAATATTCTCAACCTGACTGACCAAATTAAAGAGCGTGTTATTACATTTTGCGTCATTGCATTTTGCTTAATCTCGACGCAAAATGTAAGAATGCAAAATGTAATAATCCAAAAATTGTGTTATTACATTTTGAGTTGATATTGACGCAAAATATAATATCGCAAAATGTAATAATCCTAAAAAGTATGTTTTCACATTTTGCGTTATTACATTCTGCATTAATATCGAAGCAAACTGTAATAACGCAAAATGTAATAATCCTGGTTTTTTTTAACATTTTGCGTTGTTATTACATTTCGCGTTGTAACAGCACGATTTGCAACGCCAAAAGAAATTAAGACTTGTATTCCATTAAAATCAGTGGAAATCAAAAGAATAAATCAATATAATTTATACATTATTAGATCATACTTATTTATGTTAACAATAAGTGACAGGTTCTTGTTCTTAACAATTGATTGATTGATGGTTATTTTACCTCCCCCCTTTCTTTTTTCACTCATATGAGAGGTACTTGAGCGATGAAATTATAAACTGCACAATAGCAGCTGAAAATGTTTTCTATTTTTTTTTTTTTTTTTTTTTTTTTTTTTTTTTTTTTTTTGCAAATGCTGCTATCTTGAATAATATTTGGACTCTTAATATCATTCAGCCTATCATTTTCAAAACCTATTCCTGTCCTTTCAGGAAAAGGCAAGTCAGTTCTTGTACGTTATCAGATGTCCCCTTTTTCGTTTAATAATGTCAAGCATTTTCAAATAAAGAGAATGGTTCTTATGTCTGATAAACAGTACACAATGCTTGATAAAAAATCAACTTTATGTAATCTTTAATAGGTGCATACATTACCTAAAATACCTTAGCTACTGCTCAATGGCCCTGAGTGCCGAATAAAGGTAAAAATTTGAAGCCCTTCACAGGTATATGGTGACCTCTCTCTCTCTCTCTCTCTCTCTCTCTCTCTATATATATATATATATATATATATAGAAAGCACTAAAAAACCAACAACACAGTAATTTGTCGGATCTACTAAATAGATACAAGGTCTAAGGATTTATTATGCTTGTGTTGTACATATTTACTCAATCAAAATTAGACAATTCTCTGAATATTCCTAGACATTAGTACCTTTTTTCTTCATGAGATGTAACCGGCCAAGGTAGCCTAGTGGTACCGCGTTCGCTCCATGATCGGGACGGCGGAGTTCGAATCTCCTTCGCCGCAGCGCGTCAAACCTAAGACGTAAACATAGGTAGTGACTTCGCCATGCGCACGGCACTGGAAGTGAAAGTCACGGGTGTTTCGGATGAGACCTAAAAAAACCGAAGTCTCGTGTCACGGTAGGCGTTGGCGCGATAAAAAAAAAACCTCACTGCTCTATGGCCCTGAGTGTCGAATACAGGTCTAAAATCGGGGCCCTTCACCGGTATATGGTGACATCCTTATATGAGTGAGAATATCTCATATGGGACGTAAAACAACACACAATCTTCATAAAATGTTGAATAAACATTTTGCATAATATCTTTTCTTGAATCTTCGTATGCGTGACAAGGATATTTTTTTCTTGCAGGAAATGTCAAAAACAGGCGTTAGTGAAGATACTCAAGTGGTCCAGAAATTGGATGCTATTTCCTTGTTTTGTTCATCGAAGGGCCACGACGTCAGTTTTATTACCAAACCACTTAAGGAAAAATTACCAAATGCCGGGAAAAAAGAGCTGACAATAATAGATAAGATATGGAGTTTTGTGAAGGAAAACCAAGATGGCCCTCCAGGGACCACTAATATGATAATATCTGGGATAAAGATACTTTCATACGTATTCTCTGGCTTTGGATTTGTGTTTCCACCGGCTTCACTTGTTGCTTACGCTTTATCACTTGTTGCTTGCATTCTTAAAATTATCTTTCAAATTATTGATGTAAGATCTACTCTTGCACCAAAAATACTCATGCATGACGAGTTTTCACACGAACTTGGGGGTTTAGCCGAAAGATTGATTAACACAGAATTACTCATCCGCAAATTAGAAGCAATGGCTCATGTTGAAGAGTCTGCCCTGAGTCATATTTTATCTAACATTGACCTACATATCGGAATAGATCAGCTAGGGAATTTGAAAAGCCGCATTGAGTTACATATGCGTGAAGGGCAAGATAATGCCGAAAAAAGTTTACATTATTTGACGTTATATGTAAGAATCGCCACATTACGACAGTCTCTGTTACTGCGAATATCAACTTGTTTAAAGGCAAAAGACTACAGTCCCACTACAACAGATTTGATTAAAGATTCTATTCAAGATGAAAGAAAGAGAGATAAACATTACCTTGGCTTTCTGTCTCTTCCATCATTGAAAGCTGTAAGAATTGCGGCATTGTTTGACCCTAGTGAACACAAAGAACTTGCAGCATACGTGCAAGAGTTGTCTTTACCACTGCAGGATTTGGCGAAAGTTCTTCACGATCGTGTTCTACTCATAAAACCTCACACAAACGATTCAATTGTACTGGGTAGACCTTTTCTCTCTTTCAGTTCAGTCAGAGCAATGAAAAGTACAACAGAAAGTACCAATGTTCGAATTAGATTCAAGTTTTCCGTCATAGAAAACGTTTTCAACGTCTTCCATATTCAATCCCCAGACTTGCATGAGTACATCTACATGAAAATGGACGGGGAATGTAAGTACTGCAAAGAATCGAAGAAACCAGGAGGGGGTGAAGCTGAATGGAAAATTATTCGTGTTCAAGAAAAAGATGGACAACCAGAAGGTTCACCAACATTTGTTCTCAGTACCAGATCATGGCCATGCAGATTTTTATTCATTGAAAAGTCTACACTTCAATGTGCAAAGGGGTTCACAGAGGAAAAGATACCAGACGAGGATATTTTGTTTAAAGTAAGACAAGTTCTTCAAGGATCTTTCTGTTTCATTTTATTAGATTAATAGATTTGATATGAAATTTTCTACAATGTATATTTCTTTTCAGTTTGTGTTTTCAGAAGAATCTACAATTGAAGTTCCTGAACTTCTTTCCTCACTACAAGATGTGGTAGAAAATAATAACGATGAACCAAAGCAGGAGGCATTCCTTGAAAATCAGGTACAGTACAACATTTAAAAAAAAACATTACTATTAGATGTAATATTAAATGTTTGAGATAGCTTCTATTTGCCAAATCTTATGTCTGGCAAAATTGTTCTACGTAGAACATGCTCTTGCGAATAGAATCAAGTAGGAAATAAGAATCCCACATGCAGGTGATGATAATATATAGCTACATAAGTAAGGGAAGGTGACGATAAAAACTGGAGTCATCAGTTTATCATAAAGTTTAATTATAAGTTTGCCATCAATATACTTTTCTAGTAAAACATAAAAATATGCAACATCTGTGTCAGACTCATTAGTGTCTTTTGTTTCAAGTTCAATGGAATATCAATGAAGAAATGAAAATGAATATTGTTAACTGATAAAATGTCGACGATGTATCTAAATGTCGAGTTGCAGGCCACAGCAAGAGACTTTTTCTGTTCACGTTAAGCTTACCTTACTCCGACAAAATATATTTTCAAGATATTCCATTCACGAGGAAAACATCATTAATTAACGTTGAGCAGATTTGATATCGTGTTCTAGATGCTAGATCAATTAAATCAATCCAACTATTTTTTTTTTCTTTTACATGATTTCATAGACAATTCAATCGCCATATAATTGGGTGTTGACTATCATTGTATTTTGCGAATGCTTGTGTATTTGTAAGAGACCAAACGACTGGATTTGAAACGTTGATTTCACTGTCCATTGGAAAACCAAATTATACATTATTCCTGCCTATTTTTGTAGCAAGCCACTAAGTATCGAGGGGACGAAACAACCAGCAAATTTGAGAGTTTTCCTGCACTTGAAAAAATATGCTCCTTTTTTGATGAGAATGGTTTAAGAGCAAAAAGCGATTTAATTCGAATTGAGGAGTATTTTTTGAAGTCAGAAGACGAATTAGTTCATTCTCTTAAAGAAATTGCCAGTAGTGTTGAATCCATGAATGATAAAACTCGCTGTGATATTATGATGTCTGGTGTAGCCAAATTAATTGGTTTCAATCATAGACTATTTACCAAACCTTTTCCTTTTGCGTCAATATGTACACCATTGTTGAGAATATGTGGTTTGATTTTAAGTTCCACATGGCACACTGACGGGATTGACGAATACGTGTGTGATTCAATTAGAAATCATTCAACTCTCAAGACAGCTATTTCTAAAGATATCCGATCCATGGAACGCTTTGCAGTCTTTCTTCGAGGAATTGAAAATGCAGAAAACATATCAGAAAGAAACATAAGGCAACTTATAACAGAGGGAAAGTTTTGTGAAGAAATTGCAAGTCTTGCAGAAACAAGAGGAAAAGTAGAATACCTGACGACAAAGAATGCAAAGGTATCAGAAACTGTCGATCTTATGATAACTTTCATGAGAATGGCCATCCTTCAGCTCGTAGTTCTATGGCAGATGTATGCCTTAGCCAAATTTCCTGGACACAGTGACAAAGAGGCAGAAACCGTACGCAGTATAATAATGCTGCAGAACAGAAATGATCAAAAATTGATTGAAACGTTCTATGGAAAGTATGCGTCCTCCATGAGCCCCGATGATCTTTCCTTGTTCAAAGATTACTCTAGATGTCTAGGGTATGATCTAGATAAACATAATTCATACAATGAAAATAAAATTCATACAATGGAAGTTAAAAAAGTATCATGGAAGCAAAGATTCAAAAGGTTGCATATGGTGATCATACCCCTCCTTGAAACAATTTGCAAAGATCATTTGCTGACAATTCGAAAGAAGAAATAGACAAGAAACATCTCATATTTAACGTTTATCTTTAATAGAAGATCTATTTAAAAATGAAAACTAAATTGTTCAATGGCAGTGTCGTTTAAGGATGTACATAGATATATTTGTTCTAGTAGAAATGACTCCCTTTTACAGTTCTCTCTTGATGCAGGTCTTCATAATGCACATGACATCGGAAGCCTAATAATATCCCGCACCGACATCATTCTCAAAACTTGCAGACAATTAATTGATATTTGGAATGAAGCAAAAACACTTACAAACGGTATAAGATTAAGAACACTTCAAGATGTTTTCAGCCTTTTTCCAAAGCGAAGCACAAGCAAAGTTTATAATGTGAAACCTATAATTATTATAAAGCAAACATTAAATCTGTGTCGTCATTATTTTTTTTTTAGTGGCACACATACTTTTTTTTAAAATTTCAAACGCAAGGAATGTGATGTACTGTTCACGAAATATTTGAAACTCTTCGAAAAAATATCAAGAATGATGTACACATTACTCTCCTTAGAAGATATCGAAAACTCAGTTCGAGAGCTAAATCAACGCTAAGTGAAATTATGCAAATGAGGTAAAATGAAATGAAAAAAAAAACAAGCTAATGTAGAGCGCAAACGCTTAATGAACAGAAAGTAAACAGTAAGTAAGTACGAAATAAAGGAACATTTACAGTCAATGACACAATCTGAAATTTATTAAACTATTTTTAACGATATATTAGACCAAGATAAGTAATTGACAACATCACTTGCGTGTGTTTTCCCACTGTTAATTTATAATCAATTTTGATACCTATTCACTAACATTTCCTTGCTTTTTAACATTTTTCCTAAAGTAATATGAGGAGTTCCCTATTCTGAAAATGAACAAGATAAGCTGAATATGTCCAACTTCACAGAATACACCTTTTTCAAAGTCCAAAACATATTTCTTCAGTGTTAGAGTATCCAAAATACCTAACAGCAATGCAAGCGGAATACTTACATCAAATTCGATTAATTATGAATGAAATTTTCATAAAGGCGTGAGCTCGGAGCAAACAAAGAGCAAATTCAACAATATCGATAGGAAATCCCTGAGAAAGCGAAGGTTTTGCGAACGTAGAACGTAGAATGAGTGCCACCAGGGACGGAAGGACATTCCATTGTTTACACATTTATCTATTAGTTGTCACTGTTGTATTTTTAAGTCCACAAAATAATAGACACATAGTGTATTGTAAACATCTTTAATATGTCGTTCTTTATATTTCAAGAATGTTGACTTTCGAATATATTACGGTGGTTTTAATTTCACGCTCACTGAATTTCTCGTAATTCAGTATTTTAATTTAAAGAAAAATCTTTTTTTAAAAAAGGAAAGTTATGGTAAATTAATTATATCGGTAAATTATTTATAACAGCTTATACAACTAACTTTTAGCATCCGTTGTTGTTTACCTCGCGGCTCCCAATGATTTTCAATGATTTACTATTTTACTATAATTATGGAATATGATAAGAAAGTTCTAAAGTGTATTGTACGTATTTGATAAATGAATCCAACATGAACAGGACAACAATATTTACGATGGCTTAATGTTCGCGGAAAATTCTTTGATCGCGAATATAGTGAAAATAAAACCACAGCAATGTATTTCACTTTAATTTACAGTATTCGTTTAGATAGTGTTACCTGTACTTTGATCATACAGATGACTTATGAGTGATTATTAAAATAAATTCGCAATAAATGCAAATTTAAATGAATTTGGCTAGGACATCCTACCATGGAATTCTATAACATATTAATAAGGATGGCAATTGCTTCGCGGGTATGTTAAGGCTACACCCAGAGATATCCTACTTGCCTTTACAATATGACGTCATAGTAAGCTATATGACGTGAACTTGAGAAATAATGATTTCTTAATATCTATATTTAAAGTTAAATTTCAGGTCCAAGAAATGAATGGAATCATTCAAAACATAATATAAACTAAATCTTGTCGTTTTTGGGTGGTATAAATAGCTTATTATTTAGCATGGGGGTTAAATACCAAACCCATGACGTCATAACTATTGATCAAATAATTGCCGAGTGAAAAGTAAACGTGGCGAGAATTCATGTAAACAAATATATAAAATGGGAGTTTTAAGGCATATACCGTGAATGTTATGTGTGATTCATGAGGAATTAAAGATTAAGAATCAGGTATGCTAATATATTCTTATCATGTTTTCTTATAATGAACACAGGCAGTGCTTTGAAATCCCGATCAGCCTTTCCTCTGTCGTTCTATAACAACAAAGATGCAAAAGTTCAACACTACGTCGCATACTTTGAAACATAATTTTTGTTTGTATCGAAAGCTTGTATTCTATAGTACTTGGGAAGTGCTGCTAGAACCATGTGGTTAACATGAATTGATAACAATTCCTTGATCGTATGTATAAAATGTAAAAATTTTGGTAAGGTTTCATGCAAAACTTTGGAATATTTTTTTTCTGTGTCGGGAGAGTAGGATTCTAGCAGCACCTTTCATGACCCAGTGATGTTTTTACATAATTATTTTCACTCAAAGAAATTAATTATCTCCGGGATAGTGTTGAACTTTTCACTTTTTCATTAAGGCAATTTTTCTATTTATAGACGTCACGTGATGACGTCGTAGTGGAGTGCTTCTTTTAGTTTAAGACTCAATGACGTCTATGCAATGGATAATAATAGTAAATGTTTTATCTATGGCTTTTCCGATTTTTCAATGTTACATTTTACGAAAAAAGTCTAAATTCGCCGAAATATGATCTGGGCACCGCCTTAACATACCTGCGTTTATCAATGATTTGTATTACCAGCTATGGATGTATCTTACTTTCATACATTATTTTCTGCGCATGTATTGATTATACATTGAAATATTTGAATTACAATTCTTATATATAATGTATGAATCTATCTATTCTATTGCATCTGAAGTTAAAAATATTTAAAAATATATACATGTATAAAAATGTTGTTTTCATTATGCTTTCTAAATTAAAACAGTTAAAAGGCCGTCGACAGGTATAAGGTTATAGTATTGGACCTAAGTATTACTCCCACTTTTCAATCTCATTCCATGTTTTTTTAGATGTCCGTGTTTTTTGTCCTGTTCACACTTTTTTCTTAATGCTCACTTCAAGTCTAATTCCCCGACTATTTTATATGGATCCGCAATCTAGGATTTAAATTTAATCATGAAAATAACTGTTATGTATCTCATTTAGTGAATTTATCACACTTTCTGCATGAAACAGTTCAAAGTTTCAGTCGTTTGATGGACCTTTGAACAGTTCAGACAAAGAAAATGAAACACTGAGTTCAATGGAAAGAATATAGCATACATCTTCTATCAAACTCTCTCAAGTTTTATTTTAGGATTTACATGTATCGTTCTTGACTGAGAATAAATATAATAGAGGTAGTCACACTGTCTGCTGTTGGGTTCCATATAATCGGCGGGAACAGACTTATCTAAGAAAGCATGGAAAAGCGCGAAACGTCCAGTATTTTTTTTTTAATTAAAGTAGATAAGAGACGAGCGCTGAATTTGAAAGTTTATTTTTACTTTTAAAATAATTAATCGACTTGATTCTGTATATTAAGATCAATAACCAATATAATTCATAATATTTGATAATGTGATATTTTTTTTGGCTAAATAAAAATGCATATACATGTATCCCTGACCATCATGCAGAACGATCTTGCAATAACGTATATTGGATAACTTTGACCAATGAAGAGTTCACTCAATCATTACAAACAGTATTTTTTTATCAGTCGTTTAGAGAAAAAATATTTTGATATTTTATATAGGCCGCCTTATATTAAACGCAATTGTTACCAAGTTGTCTCACAAATTCATGAATAGCATCTTTTATAATTCCCTATATTTAAAGTGGCAGTACGGCGCATCTCATCAAAAAACTGACTTGATAAAATTTTCCGACAAGATTTGGTATTTTTTACTGCTCATAAATGTATAAACTTTCAGAAAATTACAACTGTCACAATTAAATAATTTAGATTATTTCGTTAAAATTAATAGTTATTTATGGGACGTAAATATATACATCGCAACGTGTTCGGGGTTCCACATTCCATGCTATGCACGCATGCCTAGTTTTCATAAACAAAACAGCATGGTTAGAGAGGGAAGCCCGGAAGGCTTGTTAAATTGACAAAGTCGACCAAAAAGAAAAAGAAACTGAAAATAGAACTTGGAAAAAGCAACTTTCCTGACTAAAATTTAGTTTGGGGATTAATATAATCGCTGGATAAGGAAGAAATGGGAACTCGGCGACACTCGTGCAGGGCTCTCGAAGGTTCTATTCGACAGGTTTGTTGATACGTGTTATCATTTCTCATTTTTCCAACGCTTTCAAAGAAAAAAAAAAGTGTAAACTCAACATAAAAATACACCTTTGACTTATAAACATTGTTGCCATTTGAAGTGCTAATTTTTTTTAACTGTGCAGAAAAATATTTTGTTTGACATTTGCCGCGATAACGCATGATTAGTTGGTTTTTCCTTCCTCGGACCCCAATACACAAAACGTCAACATTTGTACTTTTAATTCTGTTAAATTCGCCTGAAAGCAGACTAAAATCTTTACAATTATTATTTTAGATTATTTTATCAGAAAGTTATGATAATTTGCTTTTGAAAATTGCTT